GGGGGGGTGATTGTTTAGCTGGTCCAAATCAAGGAGAAAAAAAGAGAAAAAGAAGGCTTGCTGGTGGGCGGTGCGGCTGGTGCACTGAGCCGGGCAACACAGTCAGCGGATGAGGGCTGAACCAGGTGCGAAAAATCAGCTCATCATTTTTTTTCAGATGCCATCCGCTTCCCATATATTCTTTGACAAACGCAAACAACCCCCCTCCAAAAAAAGAAGAAAAAAAAAGAAGAGCAGATTTATGAATTACTGTACCCAAAAGTTTCGGTCGTATAGGTTAGGCTTCGGGCGAAACAAATGGCAACCTTTGTGATTTGAAAATTGCATTCAACTCCATTGTAATGTCCATTTGATTCCGATTAATTGCACAGCCCTATTGCAAATGCACACACACACACACACACAAAGAAGCGCAAAAGCAGTGCAACAGAAAGAGGCTGGCAAAGCCGTCAAGCGTGAGTCGGCGTCCCCTTGTGTCCACACGCCGCTCGGAGCTGCGAGGAGGGCGATACTTTGGCAAAAGCCGCTTCGCGCCCCCCAAGGCCACGTGACCTGCTCGCACGGCGGCTCCCGCAGTCGCCTGGCAGAGCGGCACAGACACAAACACCCTTTCGCCAGCTGAAAGAACCGCGGGAGCCATCTTGAGGGGAGGGTGACCGATCACGTGATGCCGTATTTCCGTGAACGGACAAAAGTGGCGGAGTCGCCGTGAAAGCAAAGCCACCTTGATGTCAACGCAGTGGTGCTTTGACTTACGAGTTGAATCGGTTCTCTGACTCTCAAGTCTTCGTTCCCCGGTGAAACAGACGGAAAACGCCATTTTCATCCCCCATTCAAAACATCGAGCGCTCTGCAACACGGCGCTTTAGCACAACACGGTGGTATCGTAAAAGAAGCGGCTTGAAATTGGCCGTCATTCTGGTTGAATGGGCATTGTGCCGCTCCACCTGGCGGCCACCGGCTGGAAGTGCACAGTACAGACCCACAGACACACAATGAAAGCGGCCGCAACCAAGCGATTTGGTGAGCCGCGGTCATTTTTGGCAGAGGATAAAGAACGGATGCCTCTATTGTCAGTCTTGATGTGTTGCCACCGTCGCTGTTCAAACAGATCTTGCTTCATTAAACACGTAGTGAGTGACAGCCCGAGCTGAAGCCGAGTTACATTTTGAATTGGATTTCAGCTTGCCAATGGTCCCAACGTCCCACGCGCTCCAATGTTGCGACGGGACATTGCGGACGCGCATCAGCTCTGAAGAGTCCTGACAAAGGCCACATCACCGTTTTTTGTGAACATCACGCCAGTCATTCGCTGAAGGCGCAATTTACTTGAAGGTGGGAGACTATTTACAATCAGAAAATCCGACCTATCACGCCTGATAGTTTTTGTCAAGACTTTTGAAAGAATGATTGTGAAAGGTCCCGATTTCAACGCCTCGTTTTGAGATTCAGGGTTCTTTCAAGTCTTTGAAAGGATCTGCAGGAACCCTGTCAACAGTTGTGACGACTGCGACTTTGACGTGGGTTTCAGGAGCCCGTCAATGGCATTTTGCATTGACTGCGAGCATGAAGCTAGCATACTTCTGGAAAGGATGTGCTTTTGGCGAAACTGCGACTCTCAGCTTGAAGCTTCTTTTGTGACCTCAAATCTCAAATCTCGCAACTCGGGACACACACACACACACACACAGACGAAAAAAAGAAATAAAATCGCGAAAGTCTCTTGGACCTGAGGTCATTTGTAAGTCAAAGTACCACCGTATTAGCATGCACGAAATCCGGTGACATGTCAATCTTTTTGGAGCATCTGATGAAGGCGGTGAACAGACCAATGATGATGATGATGCTGATGACGACGACGACGTGTGAGGAAGAAGGGGTAAAAGCGGCAGCGGCAGTCCAAGCATCGGCGTCTTACCTGATCCTTTCCGCCGGGGGTGGCGTGGCAGCCGGCGAGGGGGCAAAGTCCCCGGCCAGCTCGGCGGCGGCGAGCGAGTCGGCGCCCGGAGGGGTGGAGCAGGTCTTGCGGGCCAGCGTGGACGACCCCTTGCGCGACACCCAGGAAGTATCCATGACTCGCACGCCCATGCTGGAGGCGCGCACACACACGCACGCACGCACACACACACACACACACACACACACACACACACACACACA